TTTTCAACCTATACACTTTTCCTATCTACATTTTTTTTATTCTCAGTGGCACAAAAAAGTTAAAGGGGTGGGAAAATATAGAAACAACCAAATATTGATATTAAATATCGTTAAAGGACCCAAAAAAAAAGGCGTGGCACCCTAAAATTTTTCGCCTTCGGCGGCTACTAGATGACCACGTTCTCAGGTTAATATAAGTGCCCCCCCCCCCCCCCCCCCCCGCCCCGAAAACAACTGTCTCACATTTACTTCAACGTCAACAGCTTTCAACAGTTAGGCAATCCAACGATGTGTCAAATATGGCCGACTGTTGGCAGACATTTGCCCATAACCCTAAATTTCTTGTGTCATCAGTCATCGTCCCTTGTATTTACCTTTGACGTTGGGAATTTTAATAGTTATTTATGTATCAAGGGAATTATGAGGGTGTTAATACCCCAGGGCAACGTTTGTGTCCCGAGGGCCTCTGGCCCGAGGGACACCAATTGCCCGTGGGTATTAACACCTGATAATTCCCGTGGTACATAGATAATTTTATATCCTACTGAATTTACTGTATTCTGTCTATTTTTATAAAGAAATAAACCATAAATCAAAGTTTCTATTTTTTCTCAAAGTTTTACCTATTCAAGGTAAAAGCGGGAGTTATGGAAATCCTCCCTTGGGATTTATGATACCTTTAACTTCCGCGCGGGAGTTATGGAAATCCTTAACTCCCTTGGGAGTTAAGACCCTGTTTATAATTATTGTAACCAAGGTATTAAATGGTTATAATAGTTCTGTGGTTTGGATTGCCGTTAGGGAGACGACCGCATTTTTCCTACCCCAATCGAGTTATGTGTCGACACTATTATCAATATATAGTATTATGTGCATCTATTAACCTGTATTCCTGCCTGAGAGCAAAAGCTGCCGGAAATATCTTTTAACAAATTATTAACAAATTGAAAAAAACGTAACACTACCCCCATCGAGTTATGTCCTAAGTAGGGTATCAGATTGAAGGTCTCGATGTCCCCTATCTAAAAAGTCGATCCTGCCTCGTGAGAACTTGCCGGAAAAGGGTGGCAGGGCAGCTTATTGGAGCAAGGGCCCGCGGTCTCAGCTTTCACACCTATCAAGTTTTACCCTGATTGATGTGTCAAATTAAAGGTGTTAATTAGGCAATTCAATCCATCTGTCAAAACGGAAAATTCAAGGTGGTGTGGCGGCCAAGCAAGTTTGTTTTGAATATGTTTTTATGCGTATTTTAAATTATTTTGCATACAGTTTTGCTTACAACTTTGATTCTCATTATTTAATAAAATATTTGTTGACTAGGTACCTAAACTATTAATTCGGGCAGAAACTAGATATTTTTGTGTGTTTTTTGGCCCATGTGTGGCCGCCACGCCATCTTGAATGTCACATGGTTTGAATTGCCTAATAAGTTGATTTAAGGTCTCTTCGCACAGAAATCCCAAACCAGAAGGAGTGAATTTCATTGGTTGAAACTAGTTTCCTGACTGTTTCCAACCAATGAAATTCGCTCTGACTGGTCTGTGATTTCTGTGCGAACAGACCTTAAATCAACTTATTGACACCTTTAATTTGACACATCATTTAGTGCAAAGCTTGATAGGTGTCAAAGCAGAGACCGCGGGCTCTTGCCCCAATAAGCTGTCCTGCCACCCTTTTCCGGCAAGTTCTCACGAGGCAGGATCGACATTTTAGATAGGGGACATCGAGACCTTCAATCTGATACCCTACTTAGGGCATAACTCGATGGGGGTAGTGTAACGTTTTTTTCAATTTGTTAATAATTTGTTAAAAGATATTTCCGGCAGCATTTGCTCTCAGGTAGGAATACAGGTTAATAGATGCACATAATACTATATATTGATAATAGTGTCGACACATAACTCGATCGGGGTAGGAAAAATGCGGTCGTCTCCCAGACTATAATCAATCCAAATTCTCCCTGCTATTATCCGTCCACAATCCGATGTCCACTGGTACCGGTAAAATGTATCACCTTTCAATGCTATTTGATAGGGAAAGGTGATAAATGTACCTGCACCTCTGGACATCGGATTGTGAACAGGATATACACTCAACAGCATATGATATTGAAAATGAAATAGCTTTACCCAGCCGAAAATCTCTCCTTGTCTCGAAAACTCACTGGTACCAACGCAACAATCAATCACAAACCCATTTTTTTTACCGCAACCACAAGGCATCAAGATACGAGATCCTCAATGTCAAATTTTTTGTCGAGTCTGCCAGAATCAATCAAATCACCAAGAGTTAAATTCGAACTCTCAAAAATGAGAAATGCGAATAGTTATTTTTCTAACAAGTGTGCATAGGGATACTTTCCCGAACGCAAAAGCAGTTAGACGAGCGATACAAAGCGGAATTCAGATAACCCCATCAAGGACTGGAAAGTAACTTTGCACACGTGTTAGGAATAATATTTTTTCTACTAGAATTTACAAAGTAGAAACGGAAACTATGTTATTTTTATTTCAACGTATAATAGAAATAATTAATTAAATATTTTTCTACAAGCGTTTACAAATAACAAATGAAAACATTATTGAATATGTACAGAGTGTTTAATTTTCTTTGATATGATCTTAATGATTGAATGTTATCAAAGTAATAAAACGACAAGCAGCGTGTAGGTAGGTACCTATAATTTTCTTTTAACGTAAACCAGAAAAAATCAAAAAGACCCCCTTTCCGCTCTCATTTGCGTCCGCAAAGTAGCAGTGCGGGAGCTACTTACCGCAGGCAAATGAGTGGTCGAGGTACCTATTTTGCGCTTGCTCGTAGGAAATGTTTTTGACAGGTCTAACTCTTGAGAATTTCGTCTGAAAAATTAGTAGGCAACAGAAAGGCAAGCATTACCTATTTCTACCAACAGGTGAACACTGATCCAGAAGCTATGCCCTATCTCACTAACATACTCTCAATAGAATAATCTGAGGTTAAAAGTATCCACTCAATAGAGATCTAGCTGGTAACATTGCAATTTTACCAAATTATACAATGCAATTCTTTCCATTAGACAACAGTATTATAAGAATTGTTTTTTTGACATTGTGAATTTTTCAAAATACTTTTCTAAGCCATCTGTACATATAATTTATATTATTGTCGAAACCCTGTGCGGACCCGGAGCACGACAGTTATGACAGTGACTTTTTTAACTTGGATACAGTCGATTTAGAGAAGAGATCACGTCACCATTTCGGACTTCACACTTATCTCTGAAAACAAAACCCAAGCCCTATTTCTCAAAAGAAACTGTTAGCTATGAGTTTTGAGATCATCCCGGCTTTATGGATCAATTGCTTTTGGCCAAGCCACTGAAATCCACAAGCTACAGGAAACTGCCCTTTGCAATCTCCCCGAAAATCCAGAAAACCTGCTTCAAACTCAACTAACAAGAGAGCTAGTAAACAATGCCCCCTATGGTGTAAGAAGGCTCTGGCGTTAGCGCATCAATCCTCAAACTTTCATCATCCCAAAACTTGACTACATCGAATCATGCGCTACACTCTGTAGTCAAATCTTCGACTTTCATTAATCTGTTTACTGCATTGGACAAAATTGGAAAAAAAAATACGAAAAATAAAAATAAAATTAGTTTAATTTTTTTAACATGTTCACAGAATAATAATCAACATAAATACCAATCATATACTAAAACTACTCCCATATGATATCTTCCATAATATTGAGTGAGACTGTTGAAATTATCTTAAGTACATAATCCAAAATTTTAATCGGTGGTTTAATTCTTGACTTGGAGACTCAAGTGCAAAGACGAGATCGAAACTATCCTCAAATTCCAAATTTTTCGTGAGTTTCAGTTTTGATACCTGAAACCAGCATGTTGAATTTCTCTTCTGCTTGATACCAGTACCAGTATCAAGTATCAAAAACGAATTGTATTACATCCCCCATCAATCGAACAAACAAATGTGTGGGTGCTAAATGGTAGTGCTCATGGCTTGGTCATGGCAATCACTAATAAACTCAGGAGAAGACATCTAGTGGAAAAGAAGATCCGACCATCCATAGGCGGATAAATAGAAAAAGATGAAGTGTTCAAGCAGAATATACAGAAGAAATTCCAGCGCCACCATGATTATCAACCGTGCGCGAAATAGCGTAGATCAAGTTTTGGCACAAAGACGGAAGACTACGAAACAGCCCAGAAACAGAATAACACATTGAGGATCTAGATAAGGCTATTAGAAGAGATAGGAGTGCACAAATCCCAGAAATAATTGTGGAAGCACTCAGAAACAACTCGAACATAGGAGTCCTAGAGAGGTAAGTTTTTCAGACACAACATGAAGAAAGTGCAAGAAGTTTCCAGCAAAAGTCGATAAAAAAGAGCGAACTAAAAGCAGCGATGAAACAACTGAAGAACTGCAAGGCCTCGATAGCAAATCAGATTACACTCAAAAAAGCATTAGTAGCTCTGCTAAATGAATGTCCCAAAAAAGGATTCGAGAAGTCTGGGAAATTGAAGAAGCTCATCATTCTCTTGAAGAAAGCTGATATTGTAATAAATTATAAATAACTACAGACCGATCACTGTATTGTCTTATAGAAACTGCTAACAAAGATCATCACAAACCGCCTGAGTTCAAAATACCACCTTTATCAGCCAACCAAGCCGGCTCAATCTCAGGAGAGGCTTCAGCACAACTGACCATATTCAAGCAGTGTGCACAGTATTTAAAAAAAAAAACAAAATACAACTTTACGCTATACATGACTTTTGTAATTTTTCTGTAAATTTATATAAAAAAAACGTTCGACTCAATTGAGACATGGGCAATACTGAGAGAGATGAACAAAACAAAGCGTGCATTGATTCTAGATATATGTATCAACTTGATGATCCGCTGTTTTTTCGTAAACGCCAATCTACATGTCAAGTTCAAGAAGAATTGGCTGAACGAAAACGAACTAGCGATGAGGCAAGACGACACAATACCCCAAAGTGATTTACCTTAACTTTATATAGGGGTCGTGTTCAAAGGTCTATCATAGAAAAAGACAGGTGTCAATACTCTTGATGAATGGAAAACGAACTAGCGATAATATGGCGAGAACTTGATATTGTCACAATCTCTATACGTTTCGTCCTGGGACGTCACAAGAGCGTGACCTGGGGGCGTAGGTGGGGTTCAGGTAGAGAGAAACTCGCTTGGTATAGGTATAGAATAATAATCATATCACCCAATAGAAATAGCATCATGACGTCTTTTCTACGGAGGGACGTACTACTTATAGGCCACTCTGTACACTTGGCGTGACTGAAGACTGAAGCTGGCTTTGAGATAGTCCCGGAAGGGCGTTTCCTATTAAAGGTAGTTTGCACTGGACCTAGTCTGCTGCGTTCAATACTCCCAGAAGAAGCTAGGTTGGAGACAGGTCCAGAAGGGCGTTTCCCATTGAAGGTAGTTTGCACTGGAAGGAGACTTAGCTAGAGGGGCTTTTCTCATTTGAGGTACTTTGTACTAGCCTTAGTCTGCCGGTAATGGATTTCGGCGCGGTATTTATACCAAATAAATGCTGACTCTTCGATACACTTTAGTAAAATTGATGTACAGTGTGGTATTTACTTGAGTAGTTGACATTATCTTAGTGCTCCGGGATGACATTCAACGGTCGGCAGAAAACAATGGATTCAGGCCGCGCAGGAAAGATCGGGATGTACCTAATTCATCGGGAGAAGCTCATTTGCAATGGGCATCTATGGTTTTATCAAAGAAGAAGATTGTATTCTGATGCGCATATTAAGCCATATCAAAATTAAATCACCGTCCGAGACTTTGCATTCAGAACTATTGACTATTTTATATTACAGTTATCAGTTAATAATATGATGCGCCGTTGAATGAATCAATATTTTAATTAGGCCAAAGTCTATATGACCTCGAGATCTACTAGTTTCCATTTATTTATATTTTAAACATATACATGAAATTGAATTTAATAGTTCCTATATATAGTAAATACCAATTAAAAATAAACTTCTCTTCTACTTAATGCCCGTAATCTAGAAAATACTATATTCGACTGAGATTACTATAATTATGATAAGAGTTTTAAAAAATGTCCCAACACATTTATCTGTTTTGTGTCAAATTACTTAAAGTTTACTATCACAATCACCTTCATACACTTTATTATCTATTCCTTTCTGCCTTCTTACATTGTTACTGAGCTTCCTTCTTCCAGCATAATGTTCAGTAATTTCCAGCAAATGTTTTCCCTCAGTTTCAGGCAACAGAAAATACATTAGCACAATGCCAAGTAAAGCCACACAGCTATTGATCCAAAAAACTCCAGCTAGAGTCACCACATTTATGAGACTTAAAAATGTTTTATTAGCTAGAAATGCTATGTAGTATCCAGCAGCTGCGCTTAGTCCAGCTGCAGTGTCCCTAATATCGCTTGGATATAATTCTCCCATAATTATCCATGGTAATGAAGAAGTCATCAAACAGTTACAGAAGGTTACAGCTGCAATAGCAGCTAACGGCAACCAACTGTATTTATTAACAATAGCCTCATTCAAATTATTAGCTGCGTCGAAATTGTTAGCTCCGGCGCTGTAAGCGTAAATTCCAGTAAACAAAAATCCAATAAAAATTCCGGATTGAGCTATAAAAGATAGTAAGCGCTTGCCTAGAAATCTGACTAAAATCATAAGTAAAAAACATCCTAGCATTTGTAAGAATCCTAGTAAGATTGTGGCATGATAGGAATTGATTGGAACGTGGAGAAGCTGAAACATGTTCACGGCATATATGCTGATTTGGGTTGCACCAAAATGTGTCAAGACAAATGTGAGGCATACAAGACCAAATGGTTTTAAAAAGGTCGGTTTCAAATAGGATTTTATTGATTCGATGACACTTTGAGTCTTTTCTAATTTTTTCTGTTCAATTTCTTCTAACAAAATTTGAAACTCTTTTTCAATATTACCAATTGTGGTCCAGCCTCTCAACCAAGCCAAACTTTTCCTGGCCTTGTCAAGCTGTCCCTTTCTAATTAACCCATGAGGTGGTTCTGGTATGAGAAACAACAAAAACACTCCTGCCAATGGAATCGATCCATTAATCAGCGCCATGGTCCTCCATGGTAAAACTGAACCTAGAATGAACGATTGAAGAATTCCTATGGCAATTGCTAAGGCTGAAGTGGAGGATAGCGCACCTCGTAATCCTAATTCAGTTACTTCAACTGCATATATTAATGTCTGAAAAACACTTTGAAATTATTATTTAAAGATAACTATAGCATTGGTTCTTACTGGTGCTTCCAAAAGTCCTCCAGTGAATCCTGTCAGGAACAGGCCCAAAAATACCTGCCACGCTTGTGTAGCAAAATAAAATAATAGGAAAGCTCCAATGAATAGAAAGCATAAAAGTTGCATGGCTCGGATTCTTCCGAATGGTTTTGTGACTATGCCTGATGCGAAACATCCTAGGGGGACGCTGAAGAAACTAAGGGAACCTATAAATAGAGGAAGTTAAGTATTGTCTGGCTAGCCAAACGGCTGACTGTAATAGAATTTGCTGCTTTGCCAAACTTGACGGAAACAATAATAAACAAGTTGGTGACATATTTTTTTTTCTATTTTGGTGTCATATCGAAGTATTTTCGACACTAAAAGTAGTTTCGAAACGAAGCTCTTTGTGACACTCCTTTTTTACTTATCGGAGGTTGGTAACACTGGCTGACTAATGGCCATCGAACTGTCATTCGCGATTTTATAACAGAAGATTTCTATACTTGGCACGTAGTGTTACCAACCTAAACATATAAAATCAGGAAATATGAGCATAAAATTTCCAAGAAAAATTTGTTTTTTTAAATTAAACGATACCAAAATAGAAAAAATAGTATAAAATATTCGTTTCATAAGACATTTTATCGCACTCGCCCTTTAGAAAACTCGCCTCCGGCTCGTTTTCTAATATAGGGCTCGTGCGATAAAATGACGTCTTATAAAACTTGTATTTTAATGTACTATTTTTATATGGGCATATGTAGTATTTTGAAATAGAAAAAAAATCGGCAACATTGCGAAATGATGGATGTAGAGAGGCATGATTATTCAGAGGCAAGATTCTCAGTGGCGTAACTTCAAACCCGCCCCCCCCCCGCAAGAATTTTCCCGTGGCCCATCTTTTATGTAGGTATATATTTTTTTTATTTTTCTTTTACAGCGTGTCCGTTTTAAGTGATTGCTGTATTTGCTATCTCCGAACCGGTAAGAGGGACGAGGTCGGTTAAATCAATGGTTAAATTAGATAAAAGTGGTAGATTATAGTAACCATTGAAGGTAAGTACATAGGGTTGCCAAATTTTTGTTCGTTACGGAGATATAAGGAAAAATGTAAAAAAAATTAAAACTTATTTCATGAATATTTCAAAATCAACTTTAGAAAAAAGTGTTCAGACAAAAGACTCGAGATTCTTTCTTCTCTACAAAATGGCCTAATTATTATCTTCACCCATCTTTCAGTTGTGTTTACATTTTCCTTTATATCTCGGAAACGAAAAAAAAATTGGCAACCCTATAAACTTACCTCCAATGGATACAAAAATCTGCCACTTTTGTTTAATTTAACCGACCCGGTAACTCTTACCGTTTTGGAGATAGCAATAGTAGTATATCAGGTAAAACGGCCACAGTTGATTTTGCATCTGTGAAGATGTTTAAACATTTCTCTCTGAGATCTCTTACATTGGTTAGACATACTTTTTCAATGGTTGGTATGTATTATGAGGTTCATAGAATAGGTTGAAGTGTTTTCTTTTAGTAAAATAATACTCTTGTCGCCAGTTTAGTACTTTCTTGTCGCCTGGCCTGGGGCCCCGCGGTCCCCCAAGATCACGGGGCTCCCCCGCAACTGCGGGCCTTGCGGGCCCTTAGTTACGCCACTGATGATTCTATTGGTTAAAGCCTGAACGACAGCACGCAGTGGCGTGGTTATTGTCGAAACTAAAGAATTTTTTTCGAATAATTTTATTGGTTTATTTCCTTGGTGTTTTCGGTGCCACTGAACCCAAAGACATGGCTGTCATCAGGCGGTGTCAGTTGAGGTGTCAGTGAATATTTTTAGGCTACGCCCCACTTTTCTTCCCCCTTTCGTCTCTACCAAGTTACCACTTGCCAGACTATATGTACCTATTTTCAACTTTTGCGCAAGTTTGTATCTGTCACTTTTTACTGTCACCTGTGAGATGTATGGTATGACATTTGATAAAAATTACTAAAATATAATGTGAAATACCCTAAATATAACCTTTGACCTGAAAATCCGCTTCCGGAATCTCGCTTCATGTGAACGATTTTCCGCTCCATGAGAACTAGGGTTTAGACTTCACACACCTAAGGGCGGGTATTATAAAACTATTTTGACAGTTAGCTTAGGGTTAGTTTCACAAAAAGTGATAACCCAACGGTAACCACAAGATACTGGTAACCTAGTAACTTACAATACATCTGTTTCATAATGTGTGATTCAGGGAAACCCATTGGTCAAGCTTCAGAATATTCAATGCGTAGTCAACCCGCAACTATGAGTTTGATAACCAGTGCAGGTTACCACCAATTGTGAAATTGGGCCTTAGAAGTTAACTTCTGGAATGACATTACTTCCCAGTAATTCTAGAAGTTAACTTTTTACTATCTGTCAAAATAGTTCTATAATACCCGCCCTAATTCAGATTAGTTTTATAGATATCTTGAGGCGCATGTTTAAATAACTTATTTGTAAGTATATGATACTGTGAAAGTGTAAATACCCCAGAATCAAAAGAATATTGGATAAACCTATGGATAAACCCTACGATTTGCCAGTGGTGAGAGCTCGAGAACAATCCCACTTAGTCATATTATGCAAAATGACTTAGATTAACTGAGTAGGCTTTTGTAAAGTAGGTATCATACTAAAATATTAAAGAATTGAGTTCTACCACAAATTAGCTCTACAGAGTGTTCGTAGAATAAGCGATTTGGTTCTGGTGGTATAGCACAAAAATTGAAAGATCAACTCTGTTCAGATTACAAATACTAGTAACAAATTTTTTTGAGCCAATTGACAAAATTCACTATCGCTTTTATGTAATTATGTAATATCTCGAATCACATGGATGCTTTTCTATTTGAATCACATAATGAAGTAAATAGAGGCACCGGCTTATCAGTAGCAATATAATTTCGTAACACTGCCTACCTCTCAAATCAGAATGCCCCGATCTGACCACCTATTCTCGTGATAAGTTTTCTCCCTAACAAGATTCACTACATTCTCTTCTACGTTTGTACCGCCACTCAGATCCATTAGGATTATATCTATTTTTCTCCATTTCCCTACTAGTGGCAGTATGTACTATGTCTCTCAGGGTCTTGAGGACCATGACTTTGGAAATTCTAGATATGTTCCTTCGTCATACTGGTAATTATGTTAATTGTTCATCGTCTCATCTTTCCACATGCTTAACATTTCAATGACTGCTGCCACTTCCGGCTATGTACACGAAAGAAGATAAATAAAGTAGGTGACTTTGTATGAACTTGTATATTTTCTATTGAGAACAAAACGCTTCCGGCTTATCAGCCATCTTCAGTGCCATCTAAAATTGCACAGAAAGAATGGTAGTATTGTTCTCAAGTACTATACTAGAATAACTTCCTGTCCATCCAAGTCTATCCTCATGTCTGCGTAGTTTTTATTCCCAAGGACTGATGTCGAGGGAGCTAGAAGAATGTCCATCTGTCTCTTGTTGACTGCCATGCTGCCAGCCATTTTTGCGCCTTCGCGGACAGTCATAGCACTTATATCCCTCATCATAGCAATCTGTTTGGAGAATTATATCGACCTTCTGGAGCAGCAGTCGCATTCTCCCAATGTTCTTGTTCCCGATTTTTCTTCACTCGCCGGATTCGGATTATCTGCAATTTGTTGGCGATCTATTGCCGGATACCATTTGGCTAAAAAATGTTTCGATATCACTATCTTCTTATTAATCACTCCCAAGCTGTCCGCAACTTCCTTCTTGATCCGTTTCAGATCGAAGAGTTCTAACGGAAACTTTTTCATAATTTCATCATGCTGAACAATTCTGAGGCAGTGCTTGCATTGATGAACTGGGTATGGTCGCCTGAATAAGATTGCTATGCAATTTAGCAGATTCATGTTCAATTTCAAATCGTTCTGTTGTAACGCTGGCATCGAAGCTAATATCCACAACGACGCCCTGAAGCATCGACAAGTGTGATATATTTTAAAGAACGAAGTGAAACTTTATTAAACTTTATTGATTTCTGTAACTAACTGAAACAACTGGTAGACTAACTATAACAACTGCATTTTTAACAATTATGAGTTACTAGATATCTGCCTGCAAACATCTCTCTGCTATAGCTCACTTATAGGCTCGTACACACTCGTAGGTGTATTCAGCAATACACAACACTTCTCCCCTAATAAGTAGGGCCGAATTTATAGTCGTTCCTTGACTCTTCTTTGTAGGTTGCGCGTTTAGAATGGACACTTGCTGCTATTTGACAAATTAGTCATGACAGTTCTAAATGTTCAAGGCTTCCTTAAGGTCAGAGGAAACCTCAAGGAGCGACTATAAATTCGGCCCTCTCATAGTTCAACAAATTTTAAAAATAATAAATATCTACTAACACAAAAAACTAAAAACTAACGATAGTATTCAATTGGTGGTGTTACAGACCTAGCAGAACGAGTTCTAAATTGGGTCAGAGTTGTTAAGGGCATTGATGAAAAATTAGGACCAGGCTCAAGGGGTGTTAAGCTGTTTCTATTTTTATTTAAACTTGTACTCAAATCTGTACCACTTTCTTTAGTACTACCTTACTACTAATCGGCCAGTTTTCACAGCTGATTCTACCGCAGACTTAATAGGTAAAGGAGGGGATCGACAGTAGGGCACGATCACAAATTTTCTGAATACAAAGAAGAGCTAGGCCGATTTCTTTTGAAATTATCAGAACCTAAAGTTATTAAAGAAAGACCACTACCATTTAGTCCATTATTTGGTTGAATGAAAGGCTTTAACTGATCGATATGCATGAACTTAACTTCACCATTCACTTCAATCAAACAAGTATTGTCCGTCGAGTTTAATCTGATACTCGGACGCAATGTGAGCTGGTTGCTCCCTTCATAAGAACGCCAATGGTTACCTGACGTCACACCTGTTTTTGCCATATGAAACACCCCCTCGCTCCTCATACGGAAAGTGTCAGTTAAAAATCGACGAACATTAGCACGACTGACATACTTCGGAACGTTCCCCGGGATCCACTTGTTTTTGTTATTACTATATAAAAATACAAGTTCACCACCTGATGCTGAAGAGAAAGTTTGCTGTTTTCAGACAGAATCTTGCAAAATTTTCTTTAAATAGTTGACACCGGTTTCGCAGCAAATCTATTTGATTGAGGGTAGTTGGGCGGTGACAATGATCAT